AAAACAAAGTCACTGCCATCGAATCAATTCCAACACATAGCAACCTCCATTGGGTTTCTAAGGCTGTAAATCTTCATGGAAGCAGACTGCTTCATCTTTCTTGCACAGAGCGGCTGGTGTGTTTGAACCACTGGTCTTTTGGTTAGCAGCCAAATGTCTTAACCACCACACCATTGGAGCTCCTTGAGAAAAGGCCAGAGGCTATAAAAAAGACAGGCTAGTTGGGGAATCGCAAGTAATCTGGGGTGGCTAAAGCTTAAAGTGTCTGCAGGAACGGAAGATGAGCCTGGGACTGTAAGTTGGGGCGCATTCTGTAGTCCTGAATACCCTGCTAAGACTTTTGTTCAATATATTTTATTCCTGTGTCCTTTAAGATTTATCGCTGTTTAAAGACAACTGCAGTGACTTGTGTGGGCTTCTCCTCTGTTGACAGTGTATCAGGAGTTTGACCATCTCTTGGAGGAGCAGTCTCCCATCGAGTCCTACATTGAGTGGCTGGATACCATGGTGGACCGATGTGTTGTGAAGGTTGGTAAGACAGAGCTGCAGCCCACCACTCACCTTTGTGCACATGTGGATACCATAGAGCCCCACAGTGAGCTGTGAGAGTGTTCCTCACAGCCATGGAGCCGTAGAGTTCTAATGAGAGGTCTGGTAGTGGTGGTGGGAACCCTGAGAAGGGGGGGGACAGCCATTGGCAGGACTCTGAGTCACCCACTCCTGATTCAACCATATCAGTGTCTCATCTGTTGTGTACACTGGGGCTCTGCTTAATATTTCATTTCTAAAAGTCTATTTAGCCACTAAACATAAAAAGTCAAAAACCATCACTCCATAGCATTCAACTTGGAGACCCATAAGCCCTCCTGTCATTTTTCAAGGAGACAGGAATCAATGAAAGGTTAAATGGGCCACTATTAATACTGTTCACTTTCTTGTAGGTTGCTGCCAAGAGACAAGGGTCCCTGAAGAAAGTGGCCCAGCAGTTCCTCTTGATGTGGTCCTGTTTTGGCACTAGGGTGATCCGGGACATGACCCTGCATAGTGCCCCCAGCTTTGGTAAGGCTACTCCTGTACCCCCACCCCTGCCCCCCCGTCCAATCACATTTTCCCTGAGCTCTGTGAATCAGGCCCCACTTTTCTGAAGTCAGCCAGTCTTACCTGCTGTTTCTGAGACCACCAGGGCATCTCTGAAACACATCTCTTCCAGGGAACACGACACTATTAGGAGTCTCAGGGAGAAAGATGACATTTCATGCTAACGGTTAAATAGATGAATCTGAAAAAATGAGAAGTTTGGACGTGGATAGTACTATTGACTTTAAAGAGCGATAAAAGCAGTGGCTGTGCTTCCCTTTTGCCAGACGTCCCCAGTGACTGCCTCCGTAGGACCAGCTCGTACCATTCCCTAGCTGTGGTCTTCCCAGGACTGGAGCACAGGAAGAAACCCTTATTTGAACATTTGCAAATGGCTTGATTGACACCCCAGTGGTGGGCAGCCTGGGGGAAGTTTTCTGAAGAAAATGTGCCCTTGTCAGTTTCCTAGAAGACAGATTTGCCTTTATTGCCCTTTGTGTTTCCCTGACCTCCTTGGGTTTTCATCCTCTCCAGGACACATCCCCACCCTGAGTCCTTTCTCCTGCTTTTCCACGTAACAAAACTTGAAATCTCTGCCCACGGTGGTGCTCAGAATAGTCTCTGCCAGCTTGGGATGAATGCTGCACCGAGTGTAGGACACGGTTTTCTATTTTTTACTGGAAAGGAATGTGCACTGAGGCCAGGTCACCATTAGCAAAGTGAGGTGGGAACCACAAGGCATCATCCAGGCATCTAAAATCTCCAAACACTCGGGCCTCAATTCGGGAGGCATTTCGGCAAAGGGCTGTTCCTAAATTTTCTGGGTAATTGCTTCAGTTCTCTGTTTTGCTTTGCAAGTAGAGATGTGGTTTCGTTTCTCATTATCTCCAATTAAGCCAATCAGCTCTGGGTTTTTGCTCTGGGTTTAATTTGACACTTTTCCATCTAGCTTTTTATGGTCTTGTCACCATTTTCCAGTCATGCTATACAACGAAGTGAGTATGTGGTGAAACAAAGAAGGTACTATTTTTCTAAACAGCTCTGCCCGTGAAAGACTGTGTTTGCCCGGTCGGAGAAGTGTTTTGTAGTGGATTTCTTTCATGTCCGCCCTGGGCACTTCTCTGAACCTGCCTGCACCCTGGCCACACGTGGAAATTCTTTTTTGAGCTGTGTATGGAAGTGCTCTGGTGACTGCTACCTGGGCAGTGCCATCAGGCATGGGAGTTTGATGACTTCCAGTTAGCACAGTTAGCGTTAGCACATGTTACCTCGCACTCTGGGAAAATCATTCATGCATAACTGCTTTGAGTTAAGTGAATGGTTGGAAAAATTGGAGACTTTTTTCATTGCTTCAAAATCAAAGAATTAACAGTATCACACTCACAATCAATCTGTCTCTCTCTCTCTCTCTCTCTCTCTCACACACACACACACACACACACACACACACACAGAGATTCTTTCCTTGCTTTAGCCATACTCTTCAATTTGCTGATTCTTAAACTGACCACATAGATGACCAAGTAACATTCATTAGGCAGGGAGAGTCATTTGGTTTATGGTATGCTTTGAAATTCATTTTTTTTTCTGAGAACTGGTGAGTCAATGTGATAAAGAAATTCTGGACAGCCGAATGGTTAGGGTTCCATGCATGGGTTAGATTTATTACTAAGAAATCCATCTCCTTAAAACGGATTGATTTCTTTTTGAATGACACACTGTTTTAAGACAGACTGGAAACTCAGGTCAAATGGTAAAGAGAAAGAAAGAGATATTAACCCAATTTCATTTTTACAGTAGTTTGCAGCCCTGAAAGGGTTGAAACAATACCTGTCTCCAAGACCTTTTAGCAAACAATCTGAAATGGTCCTCCTCATCTGACTCATTGTTGAGTTTTGCAGCTTGGGGTGACAGACAAGTTGAAAGAATTTGCGGCGGACAAAAGCTCAGCTCCCCCTTTCCGCCTGTATGTGTCAAAGACACAGTTGGTGGTTGTGTTTGGGTCATGTGTTCCTTGTATGAAAACAGCTAATTAGGAAAAAGAGCCCTCAGTTCCCTGGCCCCCTCCCCCAACCGCAGGGGCCAGCTCTATCTATCTTATAACTCCCACATGATCCTTGGCGCTGTGAATGGATATGAGGTTTGTGTGTTAGCGTAGCAGGCCGACCATAACAATGATCGTGTGGAACATTACAATGATCCCGTGGGGGACTCCATCACCTCTTCCCAGAACGGCCTCTTTCAAAGGTAGTTGACTCCTTTCTTCTCCTTAATTCCTTTTCACTGGAAGAGCCTATGCTGTGAACTAAAGTAGCCAGACTCTCCTTCGTTGTTGCTGCGAGTGGAGGTCTCTAGCAAAATTAGTCAGCAAAGGAAGGCTAGCAGGCAGTGAACTTTCGGTCTTAACAGACCTCAGCACATGAAAGTTTCTATTAAAAGTTTCTATTTTCCGCTGACAGATCTGATTTCAATTCATCTGATACCTAGGTCCCAAGTTAGTGCTTGCATTCTGACCCTTTCACTCTGTTTCCCCAAATGCCTATTTATTTCACTGTTAGGAATGGGTTCAGAAGGCAACATAGCTCCAGGAAGAACTTGTCATAAGATAGTTTGCAAAGCAGGCCACAGTTTGACAGCCGATGGGGCCTGACTGCACACTGTTGCCCACGTTTTCCCTTTTTTACAAGTTTGTTTTGTCGCCTAGCATCAAAGGCTCACCCATTTAGGCAGGGCCTAGGAGGCTATGTGGGCACCAAAGAGCAGCACCAGCCCAAGTGGCCGCTGGGAAGGAGTGATTGCTCTGAGCTCCCCAGCCCTACACATCCTGGACCTCCTCTACGCAGAGCCGGCGAAGCTGCAGGGACTTGATGTCCACAGGCTCATTCAGATCCCCACCTAGCACTTGCTGAAAGTGAAGAAGACTTGAAGCATTTACTGATAAAGATCAAGGAGGATAGCCTTCAGCATGGATGACACCTCAACATCAAGAAAACAAAAATCCTTACCACTAGACCAGTAAGCAACATCACGATAAATGGAGCAAAGATTTAAATTCTTTTACTTGGATTTCATTTTACTTGGTGGCACAATCAATGCCCTTGAAAGCAGCAGTCAAGAAATCAAATGACATATTTCACTGGGCAACCAGCTGCAAAAGACCTCTATAAAGTGTTAAAAAGCAAAATTGTCACCTTGAGCACTAAGGTTTGCCTGACCGAAGCCATGGTATTTTCAGTGACCTCATATCAGCTGGACAATGGATAAAGAAGACAGAAAAAGAACTGATGCCTTTGAATTATGGCGTTGGCAAAGAATACTGAATATACCATGGACAGCCAGAAGAATGAATGAATCTGTCTTGGAAGAAGTACAGCCAGAATGATCCTTAGACGTGAGGGGGGTGAGATTCCTCTCACGTACTTTGGACATGTTATCAGGAGGGATCAATTATGATGACCAAGAAGAAGGAAATCATGTTGATAAAATAGAGGGTCAGCAAAAAAAAAAAAAAAGACCCTCAATAAGATAGACACAGTGGCTGCAACAGTGGGCTCAAGCACAACAATGATTGTGAAGATGGTGTGGGACCGGGCAGGGCAGCATTCTGTTCTGTGGTATAGGGTCACTGTGAGTCCAAATTGACTCACTGGCACCTAACAACATTCCTCTCCCCGCACTCAGGAGAGGGAAAGAAAGGCCTGGTGGTGATCTACTTCTGACAGGTCACAGCCGTGGAAAACCCGACGAAGCACTATTCTATCCGAAACACACAGGGTCACCATGAGTGGGAATCAACTTGACTGGTAACTGTTTTTTTGCAGAGAGCCAGAGAGAAGAGGGACCTTGCCCACAGACTCAGAGCTAAGTGGCAGAACAAGCTCAACCCAAATCCTCCCATGTTAAGGCCTGTGTGCTTTCTGCTATGCTACACTGCAACCACCTCTTTCTCCCTTTCTTCCACTATTCAGTTGCCATCGAGTTGATTCCGACTCATGGTGACCCCATGTGTGTCACAGAACTGTGCTTCACAGGGTTTTCAATGGCTGATTTTTTTTTTTTTTTTTAATAAATTGCCAAGCCTTTCTTCCAAAGTGCCTCGGGGTAGACTAGAACCACCGACCTTTTGGCTAGCAGTCAAGCAGGTTAACCATTTACACCACTCAGGGGCAATAATAATAATAACAACAAAATAATAATAACAACATTTGTTGTAGCCCTATCTACATGCTAGATGTTTTATCAGGCACTTTCTCAATTAATTCTTACAACAACACTATGAGGTCCACGTTACTGCCCTCAATACAACAGATGAAGAAGCCAAAGGAGACTTGCCTACAATTGTTGTTGTTGTTATGTGCCGTGGAGTGGGTCCCAACTCATAGCTACCCCTCCTTGGGTTTCCAAGGTGGTATCTCTACGGAAGTAGATTGCCCAACCCTCCTTCTGAGGAGTGGCTGGTGGGTTTGAACCGTCAACCTTCTGGTTAGCAGTCACATGCCTTAGGCACTATGCTACCAGAGCTCCTTGCCTACAATTATACACAGTAATGAAGTGAAAGCAGGATACTAATTATTATAACAAATATTTAGGAAGCACATACTACCATTTAATTTTCACATTAACTCTGCAAGGTAGGTATTAATAGGTACCCTTTAGGAACTCTGCTGGCATAGTACCTAAGGCATTTGACTGTTAACCAGAAGGCTGGAGGTTCAAACCCACCCGCCACTCTTCGGAAGGAAGACTAGAAAATCTACTTCTGTAGAGATGCCTCCTCAGAAACCAAAGGAGGGGTCGCTATGAGTCGAATCAATTTGATGGCAGTGAGTTTTTTTTTTTTTTTTCATTTAAAAAATACAGTTGCTGTCAAATTAATTCTGCTCATGATGACTCGTGTGTGCAGAGTAGATGTGGGGTTGACAAAGCTTTCTTTATTCTTTATTTCATTTTGCTGTTGTTGAGAATATACACAGCAAAGCATA